CCAAGCTTAGGACTTATTAGTTACCTGTCACTCACTTTTACCTAGTGTGAATCGAGAATAGCACTTTTCATGTGTTTTTTGCAGCTATGCAATGCATAAACGCATACTGACGAGGGGTTGTCTGTGTGTCCGTGTGTCTGTGTGTGCGTCTGCCACGCACTTTCATCTCAAGACCTACAAAAGCTGCAGGGCTGAAACTTTGGAAACTTAATCTACATGCACGCGCCTGCCCCAATTCCCAGAATAGGCGCCGTCACCCGCGTCGTACTCACGTACGAGCCCGCCAAAATTTTTTTGGGTAAGTTCATATCTCTGGGATCTGAGAAGCTAGAACGTTGAAATCTTAGAGGGATGTTCCCTGTCCAAGTAGGTATTAATGCACTGAAACCCATCCCCCGGGTACGCGTGATACCCGCGTACGGGCCTGCCAAGATTTTTTTCGGATAAATTCATAACTCGGAGATCTGAGAAGCTAGAGCGCTGAAATCTTAGGGGATGTTCCCTGTCCAAATGGGTATTAACGAGTTCAAACCTTACCCTCGGGTAAGCGTGGTACCTACTTACAGGCCCATGAAAGTTTCTTCCGGGTAAGTTGTTAACTCGAGAACGTGAGAAGCTAGAAGACTGGAATTTTGATGGGATGTTTTCTGGCAGTTCTGGCGGCCAGTCTGAAATTCTTTTAGCTGGAAGCATCTGCCGGAAAACCAGTGCCGGTAGCGAAAAAAATCTGCAGGGAGCTACGCAAAAAACGCATCTTCGCACGGGCAACCCGTGCGTTGGCCAATTTTTGCTCTTACGAACAAGTCTTTCTATGTGTTTTGGAACGTGCTGACCTAATGGCTGTTTTGAATTTCTTTATTCAGTAGGAATGAAAAGTTCGTAACGGCGCACTACTTGTTACGGCGGAGTGTGTTGAATCTTCCAATATCGCACTATGACCTGTATCTTATAAATGGGAACTGTGATTATATTAGGAATCTTCTTGGTAACAAATTTGTAAGAATCGGCTATCCGTGAAGGCTGTTTTGGCGTACATGAGCTCTGTCCGACCAGTCATCTCAATCCCATATTTCTGTCGTTGTTCGTTGTTGTTGATACTGATGTTCTTGATATTCATCATGGGATACTGTGTAGAAGTCTGACACACTAAATGGAGGACTTTGGTTTTAGTTTCTTGCAATATTATTCACAAAGGAATTCATTCATAAAATTTGTAATTAGTTTTGACTCAGCCATTAGGTGGAAATTCCTGAAATGCACCAGTTTTTGAAGTAATAAAAGTTTTTTTTGAGGATGGATGAGTAAATTTTGGAAGGCATGTAAATTGAAAAATATCATGATTGATAAGGATATTAAAAGTGATTCGTAATATTAAAATTGATTCGTAATATTAAGATTGATTCGTAATAATATTAAGATTATTTTTAATTAAACGGAACGCGAGTATTTTGGTACATTAAGTCGCATACAATTATATTCAGCACCATAACCATTTAGGGCACAGAATAAAAATGGATAAGAAAAAAATGAAAAGTCGCATTTCTTTGGTTCATTCCATTTTGTTTGATATATGCGATTTTTTTTTTCAGGAAAAATGATGGATTTATATGTTTTGACGAAAAACGATTTTACGCAAGGGCCATCAGTGGTGAGCTTTTCTTGTTTTTCCCAATTTGAAGGCATTGTAAGCCAAATTTTTTGCTCAATTTCCGTACCTCATCTGGCAAAAATGTTTAATCAGATGGGTGTTGTTGCTCAGTCACCTGCCCGTTTTTTTTTTTTAACTCCATTAGGGCCTAGCTTGTCCACTCGCGTTTCCTGTTTGGCATCATTTCCGCCACACGTCACTTGATTCACCGAGGCATTTCTGTCCCGTTAATTTATATATATGTATGTAATTTCTGTCGTCTTCATAAAGATCTACGTAAGCACTGGTGATATCTGAAGTGCCATTGTTGTTACGGTTGTCTTTTCAATTTGTAATTTTACACAAAAATTTATCTGCATGTTACTCTAGTTTGGTGCTTGCATAACAGCTGTTGAAAAATATGCATTTTACAGAAGAAGCTGGAATTCTCAAACTTTTGGTGTCTTCTGAGCTCAGTAAAATCCCCAGCTGTTGGGACTGATAGATGATAAAGCAGGCCTTTAAGTGCTAAACAGATCGTTTTTGAAATTTGCTAAAAACAAATTCTTTTTGAAATACTCAGCTAATAGCAAGTATTCATGGGTTTCAGACAACGATTTCAGCAGTATCAAGCATTTGAAGGATTTTAGGCAAACATTTAAGCATTTTAACCATGGTCACAAGAGATCTGATACCCGGCCCCTCTCAGCGAATGATCAGGAATGATGTTAATTGTTATGCTGAGAAATAAATAATGGTACTTTCAGGGTCGAATAACGAAACGAGCGACAACGGGTGCACGTTTCGGAAGAGGTATGACAAGACGGCAGGGCAGCGCTATTGGCCGACCGAGGAACGAACCTCGGAAACAGGTGACGAGTGAAGAACTGGACCGGGAATTGGACGCATACATGCGAGGTTCTAAGCATCCAAAAGTTTCACCGCCCTGATTGTCTGTCTCTTCGTTGTTTGACAAAATATTTTCTTAAGCGTGAAACAGCTCCAGTTTTACAGTATGTTTCAAAGGTCTTAAAACGAGATTATCCATAAGAGTGATTACTGCTTATGAGATCGATCTCTTCTTAAGTAATTTTTACTTTTAAGTAATATTCTTTTTTCTTTTAAGTAAATTTGTTGTTTGTGAACCGCCAAAATGTTTTGTTGCATGTATCAGCAATCAATTGATATTGTTGGTATTAACGTTTCTTTTTTTTTTTTTTTTTTCTTCTACGCAGTTACTCTGTTTTATATTTTTGTTTTTAAATCTCATTAACTCTCATCGTATATTTATTACGGCGGCGGCAGGGTTTTTTTAATTCGTCCGGCCCGAGCGAATATTTCATGGAATTCAAAATTTTAGGGTTTAAAAAAAAGTTATCCCTCGTTCCTGAAAAATGGGCATGTGTTGATTGTTGTACTGGGTTGCACCATCTCGCAACAGACTATTCTCTTAAATTCTGCTGAAATGATGTGAACACTTGAATTGCATGCTGAACTGCACTTTTATTTTTTGATAAAGGCTGCTGCACTCATTGCTGGTTTTGTTTGAAAGATATTATCGTCATTTTTCAATAGTAGCTCTTTCCGGATGGCAAAAAAAAAAATGTGGATGTGTGGTGCAGACGATAAAGGAATAAAAGTATGCATCGTTGAAAGGTCTCTTTTTTTTTTTTGCAGCACTAGCAAAGCTGCTGCTGCAGCGAGCCCAAGATGTTAATAAAACAAGACAACAGCGTAACAGCACTGAATTAGCAAAATCCAAATACACTTCATAATTCTCCTGAAATTTGAGCCATATGGCAAAACAAAGCCTACAGTGTGAGGGCGCCATTGGCCAACGGATTCCTACTTAGTAACTTTAGGTTTCCACAGCTTACCTCAATGATTGTTTGTTTAGCGAGTTGCAATTTGTAGATTTTCTCCACATCGAAAAAAACGCTCCCGTAACCGAATGGTTCAGCTCAAAACCACCAGGGCCTTAGGATTACTCCCGTTGTTAGAGAGTAGACCAAGGGAAGGAAAAAGGGGAGGGGAGGGAGAAGTATAAATGGATTTCTAACCGACATAGTAAGCGAGCGAGGCACGAATATCATTGTTCTAGTGGCCGTCACAATGGCTGACCAGCTTGCCAAGTAACGTGGGTAAGAAATTCGCTTGCCAAGAAAACGGATAACGTAGCTGTGTTCAGCTAATTTACCTTTACAATCGACTCTTAGAAAGGACTGGTTTAATGAGCAATCCCGGAAAATTACGACTAAAGTGTATTTTGGTGGCCTTCGGCGATGAAATTTTTACGCCTCCCGTTGGGAACAATATAAAAGTTGGGCCGACAGTGCTAAACAAACTATGCGTGTTAACAAATAGAAGGCTTCAGGCATCCCCCCTCTCGATTTATTCCACTCCTTTAGCCAGAGATATTCATAGTTTTGTATCTTAAAAATTTCTAAAACACTTGGGTTTGCGAAAGCGATTTCCCGCACTCCGATGTAGGGCGATATAAGCCCGGACGCTGAATTTTACGAGAGGTTGTTCCTTGTACATAATGTGATTCTAATTTGAACTCATCTATTGCGTACACTTCTTACGGACATGTAAACTTTAACAGTTGCGGTATTGTTGTTGCCTTTCCTGTTAACATTGCTAGTAGAAAGGTGAAGTAAGCATCTCAAAAGGCCACTGAAGTTTCTAAGTTCTTCGCTGAGGCACTGGATTGCGCTGTTAGGTGCCTGGAAAGTGTGTGTTTGCTTCTTCAAATCTCCGGGATAACTCTGTCAATCATTTCAAGTTAAAGCCCCTCATCTGTTTTCATCCGAAGAGATGTCTAAAGCTGGACAGCAGCATTTAGCCACCAAAAGGCTGTCCAGTGAAACAAAGAGCCATCAGTTCCCTTTTTTGGTCATTACACAATGAGCAACCGGGAAGGTTCTCTATTTTATTACACTGTCCATCGCCGATGAGCTGAATTTTGTGGTAATTGTGAACTAAATGTCGTGCACGAAGTTCACATACGTCACGATGGAAGCTGGCTGGAACTATTGGAAAATGCGAATTGTGCATGAAAAAATTTTTTGGAATATTTGGTCGTGATAGCTGTGGAAGTGGTAATTCTCTTCAGTCATCGGCATCCACTTCATCAAGGGCCTAACTGGCACTGGCTTGGCGAATGGAACGTGGAAGAATTTGCTGCTAGCTGTAAAATTTGGAATTGTGGGTGAGGGAAGGCTGCAAATTGCTTCAATAGCCTATAGACCTCAGCATCGGTTGATGATGTAAACTTACTTCTATGTATTGCATCTATCTGTTCTAGTTCTTATTTTATCAAGCCAGCCATCGCTAAATTTATTTTCATCTTCTTTTCCTCGTTCCCTGAGACGATTGCCCAGTGGAAAATGAAATTTCTACTGCGACTACAACTTCTCATCAGATCTGCGCCTCAGTGACTTACTTCCTCCAATAACAAACTGATTTCAACTCTTCCGTCAAAATATTTGGCAAGCTCGCTCCTTATCCACATTGAATGATTTTTTTGGCCGGAAACAAACCTTTTTTGATTCAACCCAGTGAAATCCTTTGACCCATTTAGCTTAATGTTTTCTGGAGCACGCATCCTAGCAACATTTTACTTCCCTCTCTCCAGTCATTTTGACTCGCTTGACATATTAATGCATCGCTATACATCACTGGCACACTGAAAATTACAATAATTTTCATGCGTTTTCGCATAAATCATAGTCCAAAAATAAATCGTTTCTTAGATTTCTTTTTTTTAAGCTGAAAGATGTTTGAGCTCAATCCGGCAATCCCCCTGCATGAGTGCACCGCCCTTTTCCTTTTGCCGGACTTCGAATTTCAGCAGAGCACGTTGAGCTAATGTTTGCGAAACTTTAAAGATAATGCAGTGAAATTCTTTTAGCATCCACAGTTAGCTTTATCGGCACGTATTTTAATTTCTTAAGGAAATCTTTTCCATGGCCTACGACGATGCATGGAACTGCTGCACCACCTGCAGCCCAAATGGAGTTTCTCCAAGATTAGCACAGCTAATGAAACGGAATTGGCTTCCTTTTTCAACTAGTGCATGTTTAATATTAGCTCTTTTCAAAAAAGTAATATCCCGAAATTTCTACTTACTGTTTAATATTTATTACGTTTTTGTTTCATTGCCAAGAGAACGGAGTCCGCGCGGACAGCTATTTTGGGTACCCCAAGTCAGTGATGTTACTGGAATGTTTTCATATACCGGGGGTCACTATGTCAGACAATTCGAACTTGACGTTTTACATGCAAACGCATGACGTTTTACGCAGTTCGGAGACCGGACGAAATGGAAAGTTAAAATTACCAGAAAATATTTTCTGTTTCCGTGAGATGCAGCAACTTTAAATACAAATCTCACGAACACTTACTTTTCACATATAAGCACATGAAATTTTCAGTGGAAATTTCGTAGTTTGGGTGAGGAATTTTACGAATCGTTTCAGATATTTTTGCATAAGCAGTGTAAATTTCTAACAACAAACATCAACAAGTCAGATCGCTTCGACTACCCTGGTGTATGACGTTATTTATTTCGCACTTCAGACACTTTGGTACCAGTGAATTTGATAGTCTATGGAATAAAATTTTGTTTATGCTTAAAAAATTGGCTTTTCTATGGAAGAAGCCTAGGGCTCCCTTAAAGTGCAACTGTGTTAATCTTAAGATTTGTGGTTCATCATAGGCTGACGGTAATAGCTTTTAATGCGATTGTTCAGTCCCAGTGCATTCACAGCTCGGTAGAATAATTCATATTGCTAGACCCCCTCCTGACATGCTATTTGTTCGGCATGTTAGTCTAAGGCTTGCTCCTTTCTGGGCTAAAAATGAGGCTTAGGCCTTTTCCTATGGGGCTAGAAAATGACGTTGCCTCCGGTGTCCCTATGCCCGATACTTTTTGCTTACCCTACATAATCGCACTTCCGTATTTGTATAACCATAGTCCCGGTTTAGCTATCTTCTCATCGTCAAATGTTATTTTCGCATCCTATTCTTCTGTTATTTGCTTCTCTTTTTGCAGCTATAAGTGAATGAAAAGTGACCAGCACTCTCGCATTTTCGTTTCATAGTATCAGGTTTTGAGGCCAATTCTCCATAAAATACCATTTTGCGGAAAGCACCAAATAATTGCAGGTTTTTTTTTTTTTTGTAATTATGAGCTTTTTACTTTATTACGTCGCTGTAATTCAAAATTTATGATAAAACAATGCTCATTTTAAGGAATTGCTTTTTTACGACAATGGCGAAATTAATAATGATAGTACCGCCTAAATGTTGCAAGCAATAAAAAATGAATTAATGGAACTTGTTGAGGATTGTATAAATCGACAGCCTGCATGACAACGACGACGACAAGTGCACGCAGTCTAATACCCCTTTTGCCTTCGCTGACACCTTCACAGGTTATTCTTCATGTAGAAAATGCACTGAAATATTAGGCGTTCTATAATTTTTAGGAGACAGCTTTTCATTTATACGAGACCTTTATTTGTTTGAAAAGCTACCCAGAAGTATGTAGGGCGTAAAAAGATTGATGAACGAGAAATAAATTGAACTTTTCAATGTTTTTGAAAAATCTCTTTTTAAGAATCTCATTAAGATCGGTTCTGATGTACACTGCAGTGTCGAGCTCTTGCACTAATCGTTTCATGATCGCGCCTCTTCGACTGTTTTTCAAGCGGTCATCTTCCTACTCGAGAGGTACCAATTCCAACGGGCATCCCAAGCACTGACATCTTACATTCATCGTTTCCTTCCTAGTCAGCATTCCAGCTTCCTTATATACACTTCAGCCCCTGCGTTTCAGTCTGAACATTATCAAAATATGTTCCTGAAATCCAGGACTGCCAGTCCTTATTCCAAAAAACCCTTGTTGAGATATTTTGGTTTCTGCAGTCATTCTCATCAGTTTTTCGCATTCAGAAGGTCTCCAATCTAAGACTTTTTTCTTTTGGCAAATTTTTTGGATCTTGTTAAATAGTGGTAAGCCGACTGTAGCGTCCAGGTTAATCTAGGGTGCCAAAGTAAGGAAGGTGTTTAAAACGAAGAAAATAGTAGGAAAAACGATTGAGTTAAGACGTTTCGATCCATTAAGTCATATACGTCTTAGCTCAACACCACGGCTGGACCTCGTCAGTATGACGGTGTTCTGAGAACAGAAGGAAAAGGAGGGAATATAAGAGAGGAAAAAGGAAAAAAGGAGAGAAAGGAAAAAAGGGAAGGGAGAAGAGAGGGAATAGAATTTATCAACTATAAATTTAGAGTGGTTGGGAAAGATAAAAAAGTTTGTTATATAAAAGTGAATTTTAGAAGTCAGAATGTGAATTTAATATAACTTTGTCTGGAGTGCAAGAGTATTCCAACAGAGCACTAACCTGGGGTACTCGCAATATTATTCGGGCCGTCATAGTATTTCTAATATGAAGCGGCCACGTCACCATGGCTGATTTTGGGACTAGGTGGGAAATGAATTCGCTTTTAACAAGTTTTTGTTTTACCGCGACCCAAAAGAATTTGTCGCGTAATAAAAAAAGTGCACGGATCAAGTCAGTGCTCCTGATCTGTTTTGTAATCCGCAGCACAGTATTTTTTGTTTCGGCCCTAGCAGGCCTCTCATTTCTCACCTAATTCTGTTACAGATCTCAACGGTTAGAAAGACATGGAAGCATATCAATACGAAAGGCCTCAAAGCATCTATCATGCGCTGTTTTCAGAGGGTTATTTTTGGCTTTATTTTTTCATAACTCTTTTAACTGGTAGTTTGCTGCTTTCGTACAACTGCGCCAAAAATCAAAACCGAAAATCCATTTATTCATTATGCGTTTTTGCCTATATGCAAATTGCAAAAACGCATATTGGGACGACCCTGTCTGTG